TTTTCTTCTCGCCAGGCACTAGGGCGTCCTCTTCAATGGGTGGTGCCCCCTTCATCAAAGGGGCTTCCCCCATACCTACACAAATGCAGAAGGTAAACACAAAGAACGGAGAACGCTATTAATAGCGATTTGCGTCAAAGTATGCGGATGCAACAAGGTTTGAAGCTTACCATGGTTTTTGGCTTCCCACCGAGCTCGGGATAAATCTCGTCACACTCGTTAGGCGTATGGGCAAATTGAGTATAAGCGGCCGACCCAGCCCTGGAGGTTCGAAACCTCATTAGGGTAGGTTGCTATGGCTAAAAAAACAAGAAAAATGGAGTTAGATGCTTGAAGAAACATTGTTAAAGGAAAGAGAAGGAAGACCCGACAACGCGTTTACTTACGCCTAATGTTCCACTTCTCAGGGAACGACATCTTTTCCGCCGGAATCAGGTTAGAAGTCCTCACTCAAACAAACCGGCTTATCTATCCTTCATTCCCGGGCTCCTCGGCGCAGGCAAAAAGGGACCTCGGGGACCCCCTTGGAGGAGATGAGGACTATACATCCGGATCAGGTGGTTGAGGGTGAAGGGCATCTCCTTTATCATGCTAGAATAATTCCTGATCATATAAACAATGCACCAGAACGAAGGATGAATTTGACCCAGAGTCACATGATAATGTCGGAAGAAGTTGAGAATCACGGGGTTGATCGGGGGCGAGAATGGCCCCACCGGCCCCAAGGTAAATGGATATGTATATACACTCAGAAAGCCGGTTTGTGGGTCGTAATATCATCCTCCCGAGCAGGAATCTCCACAAGCACGGTATCCCCCCAGCGGCAATCAACCCTCACTCTCCCGACGTCATTTACCTAGCTAATATACCGAGTCATGGGTTTGCGATGCTCTGGCTTCGAGGAAGGTCTATCGACCTTGAAATCAGAGGTCATCACAAAAGATCCTAGGACACATTCCTTAGCACGGGGAGGCGTAGCCACCTCGCCTTAAGAAAGAAGCGAAGAGGATGAACCCGCAATCTCCTAGGAAGAATAGGTGGAAGTTTTCACCATCCTTGAAAGATTCTGAAGGAAGAAAAAGAGTGCGTTCCTGACAGAGAATAAGGGTAAAGGAAGAACAAACCTTATTAGGGGTTTGGGCACGAAATGGGGTATAGAAAGAAAGAAGGGGAGTATTTACAAAAGCACCGTTTACACATTAAAGGAAGCCAAGAGGCAGCCAACTACCGCAGTCAATGCGGAAACCTGCAGGAGCAGCTTGCGTGTTGCATCTTGGCACCTCGTAGCCGTCACCGATTACAAGAACATCGAAGGAAGAAGAAATTCAGGGTCGTTTCTTATTGTTTCTTACCGCTTTCACTATAAGAAATGCGGAGACTATCTGTATGCGGTAAAACCGGGGGCTCAATTTCCCCGTCATTAGGTCACCTCGCAGTCATGCTCCTCGAGCCGCAAAGCCAGGGTCGAGACCCACCCTCGGGGGTCGTCTGGTGCTGGCCCTGGTGGGCATTGCGTACCAACGGCTATAGTACGGGAAATGGGGAGTTCCCAAGATGAACAGGTAGCACTGGCAGAACTTAGTATCGCGTCTAGCCGTGCCATCTCCATGCGTTTACATTTAATGCACTCTTGTACTATGTTTGAATACCCCCTCCTATATAAAGGGGATCCTCACCACTTTGTAAAGGGCGACTGTTGCTCCAACTATTCTACACAAGCTCAATGACAACTCTCTCTCTCTCTCTCTCTTTTCTCTCTAACTTACTCGCTCAAGGCTACCTTCTTCATTTATTGCCTTTATACTTGTTCTTCATTTATTGCTTGATATTGGCCATAAAGAGCCTTTTTTAATTATATCCTAAATGTTATTCCCTTCCTGGTTACCCCCGACAGCTCGAGCTCGAGCCCAGGTATCGACCTTGAGGCTTTTCATCGGTTAGCCCGAGGCCCGAACGGATAGCTCCTCGGTTTGATTACAACCCCGTTTTAGTTCGTATTTAGTTGTTAAGCTTCACATATCTAGCATCAACTGCCTTAACAACTAGCATAAAAATAAATCACGTATTTTTAGAGTCCCATCAACAAATTTAATTGTTATTACCATTTTCATGGTAAACACTTTTACTTTCTAAATCGATTCGTTTGTCAAAATAATCATGTCGAATGTCAACGACAACAACCAAAAAAATTTACAACACCAAGAAAATTAGCAACGTCAGCTGAACCAACAAGGTGAAGGAACTCTAGCTCTCTCACCACAACATTTTCCTCGACAATCGCTAGAGGGGACTCCTAACGGATCTGAATCAAATAAAAATGAGCGGCATGCAAATGATCAAGCTATCGATGAAGCTTTGAAAAAACTAATCGCTCAGCAGGTCAGCAATGCTTTTTAGGCTTTTACTAACCAGTTGCCAGTTGTACCGCCAACACCAACTCCAAACAACAACAGCCTAGAAAATTCTCGCTCAGGACTCGTTAACTCAGGCAGTGGAGGAACTCCTAGCGAATCTCGTAATGGAGGGTTAGGTAACCGCTTAAGGAGTAGAGCAACCGCATAGAGCAAATACCTGGAGTGCCGCCTATAATCAAGGAAATTTATATGGACAAATATTCACAACAACCTTGGAAGCCAAGTGCTGCTCCTCTAGCAATTCCAAAGAAATTCAAGATGCCCGATATTCCGAAATATGATGGAACAACTGATCCACGGGATCACATAACTGCATTCACAACCGGTGTAAAGGGAAATGACTTGACCACGCAAGAAATTGAATCAGTATTGGTCAAAAAATTCGTAGAAACACTCACAAAGAGAGCATTAACATGGTATTCTCTTTTACCTGAAAATTCTATAGATTCTTTTGCTGAGCTTGCAGATTCATTTATCAAAGCACACTTGAGAGTTAAAAAAGTTGAAAAACAAATGGAGGACATGTTCAAAATAAAGCAAGGAGATATGGAGCTGCTTAGGGAATTCGTAGACAGAATCCAGCGTGAGAGGATGATGTTGCCATGTGTACCTGATAACTGGGTGGCTATGGCCTTCACCGGTAATCTAAATGAAAAAAGCTTGGAAGCCACGAGGAGACTCAAGGAAAGTTTACGAGAATTCCAGCAACGACTTGGAATGATGTCTATAATAGATACAACACGAAATTGCGAATAGATGAAGATACAATTATTCAATCTCGGAAGGATGAAACGGTGAGTTCAAGACGAGCTGAAACTGAAAAAAGGTCCGATAAAAATAGGTACGAGCCTTATATGGGACCAGCAGAAAGGGACTCACGTTCAAAACAAGAAAACTCAAGGTATGATCCTAGATAAAGAGATAGAGAGTCAGGTTCATCATCAAGGTTCTGAAAAGAATGAAACACGCGAGATGAGCGAGATGATGATAGAAACTCAAAAGCAAAGATCGGCGGTTACAATTTTAATGCTAGCACATCCGAGTTGGTAGCTGTTTTATGAAGCATGGGAGACAAGGTATGGTGGCCAAAGGAAATGAGATCAAACCCAAACAGGTGAAATCCTAATTTTTGGTATGAGTTTCACAACGACCATGGTCACAAAACAGCGGATTGCAGATTACTACAAGGTGAAGTACAACATTTATTAAAATAAGGGTATTTAACTGAACTATTTAGTGAAAAAGGAAAGCAGGCATATATGAAGAATGCAGGAACCGCCAAAACCTCCTTCACCAAAAAGAACGGTCAATGTCATAAGTGGAGGGGAAGAAATCAATGGTGTGACATATATGGCAGCAAAGAAGGTGTCAAAAATTATAGTTACCCACGGGAAGCGAGTTTGATAGGTTTTGGAAGAAGATAGTATTACAATTGAGGATGCAAATGCAGATGGCGTACTGATCCCGCATAATGATGCACTGGTAATATCTTTACTTGTACATGACACTAATGTAAAACGAGTATTGAATGACCCAGGTAGTTCCGTGAATATCATTCTATTGAGAGTGGTAAACGAGATGCAAGCCGATGATAAATTGATACCCAAGGCACATACCTTGTCTGGTTTTGACAACTCGAGCGTCGTAACAAAAGGCGAGATAATACTTACCACATTCGCAGAAGGAGTAGTCAAAGACACCAAATTTCAGGTAGTAGAAGTGGATATGACTTACAACATGATTCTCGGCAGACCATGGATTCACGAAATGGATGTTGTTCCATCTACTTTACATCAAGTTATCAAGTTTCCATCACAATGGGGGATACGACAAATCTGTGGTGACTAGAGCTTCTCGAAGCATTAACTCCGTGGCAGATTCAAAAACGGAAAGTGACGAGAAATAGCAATCATAGAATTTAGTTGAGGACGCACCAACATGAGCCTCAACTAAAGATGGGCAAACAGATGTAGACTCGAGGCCCGATACTATTCAATAACTAGAAGAAAATGAAAATATCAAAACAACGATCGAGGAACTGGAAGTTGTGGTGCTATTTGTACATTCACTACAAGAAAAAAGGCCTATTGTGGCGAAAGTTTAAAAATCGCCACAGAAGACCATCAGTGGTGACCCTATAGTCGTTGGCTATAGTGAGTGGCTCATACTCAATCGTCGCGGCTAAATTGGTCGCCACAAAAGATCTGCTTTCAGTGGCAACATTAATCGCCAGAAAAGTTATCTAAGATTGACTCAAAATATACCTTCAAGAGACGTTAGTCACCACTGAATAGTCTTCTTTGATGGCGAAGCATTGTTGCCACAAAAGGTTTATCTTTCGTGGCAACATTAGTCGCCCCAAATTCCTCGCCTTTTTGTGCCAACTTTTATCGTCACTAATATCCGCTTACTTTTTGTGGCAACAGGGGATTGTTATCAAAACTAACCTTTTTATGACGGCGAAATATCGCTACAATACTATGGCAACAATAGTCGCTACAATAAAAATTTCCTGTTTTAAATTTTTTTTATATAAAACTATAATAGATTCATACTAGTAGTCGAACAATAATAAAACAACCTATTTATAGTGGTAACAATACATTTCACGAAATAGAATTGTATATAATCTTTTCATTGGTAAAAATGTAAACAATCTAAAGTAACATTGTAATTGCACGTCCTCAATGAAAAGAATAAAATTTCTTTAAAATACTCCAAAAACTTCAAACTACTCCAATATTTGTAAACTGCTCTTCTGCAACTTCATTTCTTCATTGTTGAAGTTCTTTGTTCCTGTCATTGTAAAAAAAATATATAATGAACAAAATTAGCAGATGCACGTACTAAAGGAAATATCTCTACAAGTAGCATATCGGCAAAATAACAAGCCAAAGACCAATAGCTAAATGTTCAAAATTAACTTAAGAGATCCTGGTTCAGTTCTGTTCAAGAGTTAGGCAAAGATGAACAATCAATACTCAATTTATAAGTAAGAGCAGCTAAAACCAGTTTTGGAAGCTAAAATAGCTTCATGGCTAAGAACATTTCTTGACAATATCAATCTTAAACTATAACCAAATCTTAGCAGAGGATTTCAAAGGCAATAGATTAATGTATAGCTTATCAACAATGACAATTCTTATACACGGATATTATCTTTACAATTGAACCATTATTGAATAAAAATCCTCAAGTCATGCAACCTAACTGTTAGAAAGCAAGAATGACTTAAACCTTCGAAGACATTAGTAAAAAAAAGTTAACAATGTAGCAGGCTTCCTCAAGTCAAGAACAAAGTCTCTAGGAGAATTTACATGGCAAACTATATAATAAAGACAAACTATCCAAATGGAGTGTCATCACCGATTTTCATGTTCCCTTTGCTTGACAGAACAGAGAGTTGCACTGACATGTTTTTTAAGTTTGAACTATCTACTTAAGTGTGGTTTAATATCTTAATCGGCAAGGCATAAACAGGTTCCGTATATTGAAGCGATGAATTAGAATTGGTAGTTTATAGAGCTAAGGGAAAATATGCAGCAACAAATATCTTTAGGATGTTGAAATCTATTAAAGGTATTTCAATTCATCAGCTAATGGAGATCTATTCTTGCTATAAAGAAAAAAAGGGATTTACATTATGTAATAGACATTGTACATGATTTACTTTTCAAGAAATTCTTCACTTGATATACATTTGGCAGGAGCGAAATAGCAGGATCTTCACAAAGAAGAAAATATCTCCTCAGGCCCCAGTTAAAAACATTATTCAAGAGGTGTTATATAGAGGATTTTTGAGACCTAAATGTGAGGAGAGGCTAAATTAATAAACTGAATTTTTATCCTTTGTAGTGTTGAAGGTTTCTAAGTATGTTAGTAGTTGTAATCTGGTCTCCTAAAAGCTTGTTGACGATTCTTTGTTATTTTGTTTTCTCACTTGTAAAATTAAAATGTGCAGCAGGCGACTAGTGAAATTATTTTGTGTAGCAGGCGTACTTTCGATTCATATACATACTTTACCAGAAACTAATATGTGAAATGAAACTAGCAGCATTGTATTAATAGCTGTAAAGTACATTTGTAGAGTACAGAAACATTAGCATTTACCTTTTGAATTCTAGCCATCATCGTAGCCATCTGCTCTTGAAATCTTTTGTCAAGTTGTAGATTCATGTGTGCGCGCTCCTCTTCTAGTTTTTTTTTGCAACTCAGCACGATCTTCTTCTAGCTTTCTTTGTAACTCAAAACGATCATCTTCTAGCTTCCGTGACAATTCAGCAGCCATTTGTTCTTCCAACTTTCTTTGCAACTCAGCAGCTTGTTCACGTTCTTCTTGTAATTTTCTGTCCATTTTAGCTTACATATCTTGACGCATACTTTCCATTGAAGAAGACGTACTTGCTTCTAATTCTACCTGCTGCGCTCGGCTCTTTTTTGTAGGTCTTTTTCCGTACCCTTTCCCACCAACATAGCCAGTTCGTTCGCCAAGTACGATGACTAAAATCTCATCTGCATTCATCGAATTTTCTTCAAATTGTTGTTGCTCCACAATTTCTTGGAGCTGCCCCTGCAATTATGCATAACAATTTATGATATAAAATAGGAGACATAAAATAAAATAAATAAAATACAATTTCAAGAGATTACATGAATTTGCTGCGACTGTGGATCTGACCACACCAATTCTTTGTTAGCGGAAACGTAAAAGAAAGAACACAAGATTTAACGTGGTTCAGATCAAAATAATCCTACGTCCACCAGAGAACAGTTGCCTTTTTAATATTAACAAAGGAAGGGGAGAGTTCCCAATTACACTTAAGAGAATTTCTCTCTTAACTCTCTACTCACTACAATGTGTTGTATTATTTTTGGGATTGTTTCTACAAATGAAGGAGTGCATCTATTTATAGAAGTAAAGACCTCCTCTTGATGTCATTGGTGACATCAAACTACCTCCTCTTGATGTCATGGGTGACATCAAAGGAGGAAGCTTCCTCCTAGCATCCACACCAACTCTTTCCACCAGCTCTTCCAATTGGCATGCCATTATTGACTAAACATAAACCAACACCTTCAATATCCACCTTGGTTTGCGTTTCGAGCGTGCGTGTGAACATCTCTGGCCAAAACTTCTAAGCTTACTGGGCAACCCCGTTGTAAGAAACAAGAAAAATCAAACC